TTGTGCCGCTTATTACAAGCATGCTGATGGTAAGAGAACAACAAACTACAAATCAGACACTTGAAAATTGAAGAATGTCTAATTCTACTTAGACTCCTTTAGGCTCCAATGTAATTCTTGAACCAGTGAAAGAATTACAATAGACTCTCCTGGATGTCGAAGTCTACGTGAACAATTATTAGACTGAAATGTATTTGTTGTGCTTTGAGCAGTTTCTTCTGCAAAAACCGCATTATTAGGATTTTCTAATATAACAGCGTCCAGTAGATTCAGTGCCAACATCAGTCACAAATATCGGTTTTTCAGTGGGCAACTAACCGTAGAAATTTCTTCTTGCATTGTCATATCTGAGGTCATTGCAAAAACATCAAAGATAAGTTCAAAAAACCTACTGGACTCGCGTCTAGTCCGAAAATCTGCCCAGTTATCAGACAAAGTAAAATACTTGGCGGTTTCTTCTGGACCATTGGAAAAGACAAAATCCAGCAATAGTTTCTTTGATGAATGCTTAATTGTGGCGATTCCCATTCCGTTTGAGACTCAATTAGCCGATAATGATGGGCTTGAATCAATCGAGCGACGGCAAGTTCTTAAAAACCGGCAACAATCTGAAAGCGGTCGTTGAAATATTCAGGTTCGCCTGACAAAGTAAACTTTTCGAATATTAATAAGGCCGAAAACTATAATTTTCCACTTGTTTACAATTACATTAGGCCGTATTGAATATCATTAAACATTCACTCCCGAAATCTTGATGGAATTGGAAGCAGCAGGACATGAATATTGGATGAGAGTAGCGTGGCGCAATTTGTTCCGATTAGTGGGATTTTATCGGTTTTGTACGGCAATCGGCGGCCAGGTTTGTCCTGCGACTTACCACTAAGTACTAAGAGGCCTGGACTTACCGATGGGTTCGGCATGCATCTGCGTGGCATCGGTTCCGGGCTTCGGTAAGTCGGCGAATAGCGGCCAGCAAAACAGGCACCCGACGATGTGATTGGGCCGTGCAGACCAGTGGGTCCTTTTGCGCCCATCATTTTATCTGGCGAGTACATTTTGAGGCGGTTTTCAGAGTTGAGCGAAGCGTCGGATACAGTCACTCATCAGTCACAATCACTTCACTCATTGGTCGACGGCACAACTTTTGCAACGCCGAAGGCCAAAACTGGGAAAGGATCAAGTCGCTTTGCACCCTCTTCCGTCAGGGTGGTTTCATGTAAACTGGTTCGGCTGCCATTGGAGTTGAGGGTTGAGTGCGATACCAGATGGGGGCGCGTGCGCTCCGGGGCGCCCGCCCTCCAAGCCGCATTCGCTTCCGACAAATTAGTGGCATTTTGATGGTGTATGGATTTTTCAATTGTTATCAAAGGGGTAAATAATACGGATCGGATGAATGGGGATCGTCAATCTCTTCCTGATTTCACGACCAGATTCGCACTTTTTTCGCACAGTCTCACCTGGAAGCCGATTTTTACGTGAGAACTTGGCTCGGCCCCAACAGGGCAACAGGTTGGCTGAAAGGGCTTCCAGGATGTGCTTTTTCTCGGTTGTTTGAGGCCAGTTTTAAATGAAT